AAGTGATGGTATAAGTGAACTTCATATGACGATTTTACAATTCAGAAGTTTACCTGGGCACGTGTCCCGAGAAGTGGTTGTGATTATGTCCAGTCTATCTACGGTGGATCCTGGAAATGTGTTCTCCACGTTCGAGGTGCTTTTTGCGTCTCTCTATTCCTTATTTCTTTGAGTGAATCATATGTATAATAGGGTTCTTTTAAGGTTCTCAGAGGGCATAATATTCGGTGTTCTGTGATCGGAATAAGCGCGGAACTGTTCGTGTGCAAACAGTTGGCAAAGATAACAAATGGTAAGTATTTTTAGAAATTCGCTCAGCGGCTCTCAGTTTGGGCTTTTAGTGATTATTTGTTTGTTTGGCCTGTTTATTTGTTAAGCTGTATCGACCCGTTTCCAATGTGCACTTGGCACTGTTCGGCTTAGAGGGAATGACATTTTGCCATTTTGTTTCTTCAGTTCTCTTACCTTGATGAGACGCCGCCGCGGGGCGCTGCTGAACGCCGGGCTGCGGGCCTCATTTTTTTGACGTTTTTTTACGAAGTATAATGAAAAAGAAAACTCTATTTTCAGGTAGATATGATGTGGTCCTGGACCAAGACCACTTCGAGCTACTTCTCTCACAACACACTGCTCCTCCTCCATCAACAAAAGCAGCTGAATGTAACGCAATTCGAGTAGCGTTTCCTCCTCACACAAACATTCGAGAACGCTCTTTCTGTGTATGGTAAGGGTATAAAAAATTTGACGCTAATGTTGCAGAGATACAGTTGTTAACGTCGCAATCGGTCGGGGCGGTCCCAGTAGGGATGGGATGAGCCATCCGCAGCGTTTAATCATTGGTTGTTTTTTCCTAATCGATCACTAACCGACCACTGTTGATATGGCGAGACAGCTGAAGGCGGGCTCATTACGCCTGTCTTGACAGCGCCGTACTGATTGCGACGTTGTCAACTATATTAAGAGATGTCATGACAACCAGGGCAAATCCTGGTGTTGGGGAAAACTTTCGGCTATCACAGTCCTTTACCCAGTTTTTCCTTTCATCATTCTACTACCCTTCTTTCTCGCCGAGTCTTTCAGGAAATATTGAATTTGGGTAATACGTCTTCCTGAAGCCAGTGCGCCAAAAAAATTTCCTGAGACCAAATAGCCCCCTCTCCTCCACCGCAAACCCTTCTCCAACGAGCAAATTGATCTACCCTCGGAACCGTGTGAGAAAGTGCTACGGCGCAGTTTGACCCGGGGTCATTTTGTACTATCATTGCCTTAGTTCCGGTTTACATGTCTCACTCTGGCGAAACCTGTGAACTCTTGTGAAGCTGGAGCAAGGTCGTCAAGCCATCATGTTAAAACCTGTCAACTCGAGAAGAGGCTGTCTAGATAGGTCGACACGTCGATGGGAAGTAGCAAAAGTGCAAAATGCCCCCCCCCCCCCCCTGTCGTCAAGACTGCGCCCGTGCCCTGTTCACAACGATGTTAGGCACGTCAATGCCCCTAGGGGTGACGGCACCATGCTACACCTGCGCCGAAAACTCTAATTTCATTTCAGTTCCGAATTTCATTCTGTCGTTTTCTAGCCATCCAATGTCGGCGCCTCTGTCGACATCCCGTGGATTCCTTTGCGAGCAGTGTGGAGCTCGACATTGTTCGCTACCAGCTGAGTGCCGCGTCTGTCGGATGACGCTCGTTGCTGCCCCTCAGTTGGCGCGAGCATTTCGTCACTTGGTCCCTCTTCCTGCTTTCACTCCTGTTTCAGTAACTGAAGGGTGAGCACTCTTTTAATAGCTTTTCTCGCTGGCAGTACTTGAACTTTTCATTTTTAGTGAATGCATGGCATGTGAAGAACCGCTAGCAGGAGAGGGTTTCACCTGCAAATTGTGTGGAGCAATATTCTGCTTCGATTGCGACATACTCCTCCATGAAAGCCTCCATGTTTGCCCAAACTGTGTATGAGCTAAGAACAAGCCTGACTCCTCTTCATATTGTGCTATCTCGGAACTCATAACTGTTTTGAAACACGTAAGGTTCTGATGGTTTCACTGGAAATCGTTTTGATGTTGCGAAACGGATCGCAAATGTCTTTTCACTTCAAATAATACTGCGGTGAAGCTCTTTTGGGCGTGCAATCCTGTTAGTGTACTCACTTAAGCATACTTTAGTTCGCTGCGGACGGTTGGGCGTGTCAGGCAGTGTGTCACACCGTCAAAGCCGTTCTCTGCCTTCTTGTTGAAGCGCGCATGCGACAAAAAGTGGTAGAAAACGAGTAATACGAACGATATGATACAGTCATATCATTTGCTCGCTTTAACAACTGGTGGAGAACGGGTTTGGCACGCAAGCTCATCCCGCCTGACACGCCCAACCGTCCCGCAAGCGAACTACGCCTTATAAAATCGATGAATTACTGAGGAGATAGAATTGCAAACAAAGGGTAGGTCAAGTAACGGGTTCAGAATGAGTTTATCTCGTTTTTTTTAAGGACTTCCGCACACCTATTTTGTACTCTTATTTAAAAGAATTGTTGACCATCTTTACCTTCCATAGAGAAATGCATTGTTGGTGACTTGAGAGATTGCTCGTGGTTGCGCTATTACGCAGGAACATCTGTGGGACGAGAGCGGTCATGGGCACTCCTGCCGCTCATGTACCAACCCACCTTCCGTATAGCTTCAGCCTCCTAAACTCCTCATACTTCCTCCCAACTGGTTCCAAATTTGCTCTACAAGCATTTCACCCCTCCCACCCCACCCCCAGACCGCCCCATCCGAAAAGCAAGTAAAGATTAATTAATCTCATGTCCCGGAATTACTTCCTTAACAGGGAAAATACGCATCACTACCCCCTCCCCCTTCACCGTTTCAACCACCGACAACAATAAGGACCCCTTTCGTTGAACGCCGCTGCCTCACATGGGTCAGGAGAGTTCGATATTTGCACACTCATCACTGGTGTTCCACCTCCAGTCGCGGAATCGCGTGAGTGGCACATCTGAATCGCTATTAGCGGACTATGAACGTTACCTCATGAGTATCCAGTTGATACAGTTGTTATCACTATCTTATACGTTCTTATCTATAATTACGAGTAGTACTGGTTGAAATGTTGTAGTTTCGTATACATATTTATTAGAGAATTATGTTATCGGTGAAATTTTATATGTATTTACATGTTGTGATAAACATAATTTCTTGAATTCTGGTCATATGTACGGAGCATCGCTGAAGTTTAATTTTATCGGAATATCGCTGAAGTTTCATTCTTATGAGTCTTGCTTCTATGGGCATGCCTTTCATCGGTTTCTGCGGCGTCTTGTCTGTGGTATTCGGTGAAACATGGTTCAATGCAAACCATGGCAGGTTTCTTAGCGTTGCGCTTGATTTTACTGCGCTGAGCGGTCAGGTCGCGCTTGCAGTTTGGGAATGCGGAAAAACTGCGACCTAAGGGAATACGCGAAAAGGAAACATTAGGTGTCATCCTGAAGAAACCGCCACTCACTGGTATTGGCTACAGAAGATAGACGGGAATCGACTGACTTCGTCCCCTATTGACTTTCGGGGAATCCACGACGTGGAGAATTCCGTAATACAGAAGTGGGCGCAGCCGGTCATTCCCAAACCTCTGTAAGCCCGATTCTTCAATATGACATTTTTGCGAATCGCGTGCTCTCATTGATAGAGAAAGAAAGGAGGCCCAGCGTTCATGAAGCACTTTCAGCCTGCATAAGATTTTTGCAAGATTGCCAATTTGCTGGTCGGTTCTGCGTCGTTCAGCAGCGTCTGCAACTGAGATAAGTTTTTTCAATATAGGGCCGACAAAAGGATCTCAGCAGGTCAAAAACACAGGATGTGTTCAGGATGCAGGAACCATTCAGACATAGTGGTAGATGCGGTAGAGAGGGGT